TGAGCCACAACCACTGGCACAGAACCCTGTGGAGTGTTCCACCTCCAGCCCAAACAACTGCCTAAATCCAGGACACACCATTGGTGGGACTGGGAGAGGGGGAGGCCAGCTTTTGTAAAAACGGTGCTGTCCAACTTTGCTCTGCCCCGGGAAAGAAAAAGTGCACAAAGAAATTATTTGTATGGTGCACTGGGGTGCAGCAGGGGGTAGGGTACAGAATGGAAAAGGCTGATGCAGCCAGAGAAGACCAGCCTGTGAGCACTGGCCTCTCGAGGCTCTACCTGCAAACTTACAGCAAAATTTGGGCAGCAAACCTAGGAGGCATCAAAGCAGTGCTGCTCCAGAACCCAGTCTCTGCCTGTCAGGGCTTAATGGAGGTGCACGGCCACGGCAGAGGACTCACATCCCCCATCCCTGGGTAAGGTTCACTCTTCTGATTTAAAGTTTCCTTCTGCAGCCCAGAACTCTGGTCTGCCCACAGATATCACAGGACCTCCCTCTCTCTATTGCATTTGGTCTAGGCAGGCAGGGGCAGAGGGCTTGACCAAAGGTACTGACTTACTGAGCTGGATTTCAAATGGAGAAATTCAGGAGAAATCAAGGGGGAACTGACAATGTCTTAATAGTTCATGGCTTTTTGATGGAGCCAGTTTATCCCCATTTCATCCAAGCATTCCATGGGGAGACTCTTCCACTGGCCCTGCCACTTTCAGGGCGTGGCTCTCAAGGTTGCCTGAGGTTGGTTTCCAGTCGACCACATCACCTTCAGAAGTGTGCCTCCATGTTTCGTCTCTGAGGAATAACAGGCAGATCCCCCTTTCCGCTGAATTTGCCACTTTCTATCTTTTTAATACAACATCTCACTCTCCTATTATCTCTGGTCAACTCGGGCCCAGAGCCTTACTGTCTATCACCCAGGACTCTGCTTTGTCCTCAGCATCTCTCACCTTGAAAGAACTGAGAGAACTACTGATTGAAGCCAGTCTGGGGGTTCTGAAGGGTACCAGGGTTTGGGCTGCAAGGGCCCTGCTCCCCAGAGTCCCTCCACCTATGTCTTATTCCTGAATCGGAAGAAGGTTTCTGGGTGTCAATGGGTAGGCTCCAAATTCTGTAGGTTCCTCCATGGGGCCAGGAACATGACTGCCCTCAGGAAATACTTAAAGAGATGAACATTACCCATGAACTCATTTAGCTTTCATGTGAAGTAGGTGATGGAATGAGAACAGCTATAAATCTCAGACTGTAAACATGTAGAGACATGGTAAGATATAAATATAGATATGTCTACATCTCAGTCCTTATCCCTTTATCTCCCCATCTCTACCTCTTAGTTGGCATGAGATGAGGCTGCTGTAACAAAATACCAAAGACCAAGTAGCCTAATTTCTCACAGTTCTAGAGGTTGAAAAGTCTGAAATAAGGACACCTGTGTGGTTGGATTCTGGGTGGAGGCCCTCTTCCTGGTTTACAGATGACCATATTCTCAGCTGTCTACCAACACTCTAGGCTTATTGAATACCTTTAATGTATGTTGTAGACCTGTACGGGCCCTGAATTGAGAAAAGGCTGCAAGAGTTGTCTAGGCCTGTCCTTCAGAAAAGGCAAGATAAATAGAGGAGCTGAATGAAGTCTTATGAGCCAGGAAAGGAAAAGAAGAGAACCCTGCTGTGGGCAGATCCACAGGTTGAGGGAAGGCAGTTTGCCTGGTAAGCAGTTTGCTCCGTGGGCAACCAGGGAGGAAGATGAGGGCAGTGGTTTCCAAAATGTAATCTTTCAATGTGCAGAGATGATACTATATGAAATCCTTTCTTCTCCCTCTTAGGCTTACTCGAAGTCTTTTTCTCCAGCTCCCCTGCAGCTAGATTATGGCCATATGTCTAGTTCTTGCCAAAATGATGTAGGCAGAGTTGGCATAGGTTGCTTCATACCTGGCTCACCAAAAATGGGATCCTGTTTCCCCCTCTAATTGGTGGTAGTGATGTCTCCAAGATGGAAAAAGAATTTCTGAATGCAGAGCCTATGGTGATAACCTAAGTGTGAGCACAAACCAAAACCAGCCAGATACAAAGGCATGAGTCCTCGATTCACATCACTGGACACTTCCCTCCTGTGGGTACATTTTGCAACAGTGGGGGTGGGACTGGGGTAGAGAGAAATGCTTGTTGCAAAATCATGGTCTTGTTGCTTCCATTTTGACATATCACCACATCTGGGTGAGATAAACAGTAATTTTAAAAGGTGTTTTTTGAAGATTGCAATCACTTCTACAGCTATGACAAAATATTGAGGCAAATCTGAAAGGTCATTTCTCCAAGATGAGACAGCCTGCCTTTAAAAGGTGCTTCTCTAAAAGGGATAAGAAAAGAAGTCATATAGGATTTTTAGGCTAACTAGAGGCTACTGTGTTTGTCCAAAGGTTGGGGAAAAGTGCCTCTCTTCTTCACCACTCTAAGGAGCATATCTTCCAAAACTGGGTGGAAGATTGGTGTTGGCATAGGGAATAATTCTTCTCACACCTGTGTTCATAGCCCAACTTGTGAATGTGGCTGGAAAGGAAAACAGAGGGGCTAAGTAAAATGTTTCTAGAAGGTATAGGTTGGATTCCCTCTCTCCTTCAAGGCCTGACCCCTTTCCTGAAGTTGACTTCCTAGTGTACTTCCATACCACCACCACGAGGGAAAGCCTAGAGGTGGGTTTGAATACCTTTTTGTCTCTAGTCTTCCTATCAAATCTGCTGAACACAAAATGGTTATTCCTTTGATACATCCTAGAATGCCTTAGATGTCATTAATATCATTAAGTAATTTCATGTGTGCTATGAATCGGAGACAGATTGGTATGTGAACATGGGAGAGGGTGGAGACCCGTGGGGAAGCTTGGGGTTCCAATATGCAAGTTCAAAGACTACTCAAGGATAACTCTAGGGCACCTGCTGGTATGCTCAAAACTGGGAGGGTGGCACCAGCTTGTTTCTGTTTCCAGGCCATTCTAGTCTCTTTTCATGGTTACAAAGCTTGGAGAAGTTTAAGAAAAAGTAATTGCTATCATTTAGAATTTTCTAGAAATGACCACCTCACCTGAGTGTTATTCTTTAAGTACTAAGTCACATCAAGGATTGAGCATCTTATGTTGGTTACATTTCATTTGCTCATTTGGAAGGCGAAGTGGAAGAGTAAGGGTTTGCCGGTACAGCAATACAATTTCATTTCCTAAAATGTAGTTTCATTGCAAATGATGACGACCCCGAGTTCATGCCAGGTTGGCTGTGGTCGGGGTGGGAATGAGGCTAGAAACCACCACACGAAATCTATGATTTCTAAGTGGTCAGGGCTGAGACAGATCAAATGCAGGCTTTGTCTGAGCTACAAAGCAAGTCACTACTAATGTTTTATACATTTTCTTTTACTAGTCTTCAAGCTATTTGAACAGCTCCTCAATTATGTCATTTCTTTTCTTGTTGTGTTTTGTTGAGGTGAATCATCATGAAAACTAACTAGAGGGAAAAACCACCCCAATCATCACACAAAGGACACTTCAAAACTACTCACATTTGATAATTGACTAAACTCTTACTGAATACAGCTTTATTGATAGTGATGAGGATACAGACACCACATACATTTTAGTTTGTTGTTCCTTATATGGTACCAGAATGTTTTAAGCAAAGAATTTGTTTTGCCAGAATTTGCTGAATAAATACAAAGTTGGTTTTTTTTTTTTTTTTTAAAGGAGTGTCCGAGACAGTATTATATCTCAAATTCTCTGAGAGGGAAATTTCGATGGGCTTTACCCTCTGAATGTGCTGGAGGGTAAATCTTTAATGCTTTAGATTCTTCAGTTCTCAGAATTACCATGGAGGAGTGTTTAGGAAATGATGCTATAGTTTTTACTGGTATGAAAAGACATACTGAAAAATAATTCCTTGCAATGCTGCCTTGTGCTAGAGAACATATTCATCAGAGGCTGGGGTGAGGACATATCTCCTTCAGAGAACATTCTTCAGAAAAGAATTCAAGAAGAGTTATTCAAAGAAGATTACATAAACTTGTTTCTTTGTAACTCGGAAAAAATTAAATGAAGTGATTCTAATTTCTTTTATCTAGTATCTTGGATAAATTCTGAAGATATTTGGCCAAGATAACCAGCAAAAAATCAACCTTTTAACACTTACATACTTCCAGGGAAGCCTCTAGTTATATGCATGTTTGTAAAATACACTTACTATAACTGCTGCTCTGCCTTAAATCATAGATCCATTCAGTACATGCTCACTTACTTCTTACCCTAGTTATAGCTCTTCGCTCGTAACACCCCACTACCATCGAATCATGGATTAGAATTATATTAATCTGTACCGTCACTGACCTTCTATCCATAACTGATAGCAGCAGCAGAGGAAGTAAACATAAAACTCATCCAATGCCACTGAAAGCAGCTGGTGCATCAGGGATGACAGTGGGACACCAAGAGTCTAAGTAAAAACAGACAGACTACGTTCAAGTCTTGCTTCCTCGAGACTCACACAGCAGGTCTCTGGCCCATTCAGAAAAGGAGAGCTTACTAGTTCATCTCCTGGGTAACTTGCTACTGCTCTGATTGACTGAACTGATGCGTTTATTTAATCGCAGGACTTTGCAGTTACAAGAACAATAGGCATCACAAAAATAATACATCCTTTTCTTTCAGAAAAGTAAAAGGAGGTATAGTGTTGGAACCTAAGACTGGGAGTGTAATTGGATGTAAGCTTAAAACATTTTTAATAAAATGAAGTCATTTTCCAGTTGGGAAACATGGACAAACCGTCACATTTTCTAGGAGCAACTGCTCCAATAGTGGGGTTAAAGGGTAGACTTCACTTACACATGAAAAGGGACCCAGGTTACTTTGATTCTATATACCTTCGTGTCTTTCAGTTGTTCCAGGACATGACACTTTGACCCACCTGTATGTTCCATGCTCCCTACCAATTTGCTATATGCCAGAAATTCCAGTACTCTAAGTTCATAATGGTCTTTATTTATTAACCTGATTGTTGAAACGGAAGACAAAACAGCAATGCACCCAGGAACCTGGTAAGCCCAGGCGAGTGTGTTTTCTGAGTCTTCAGATAAACAATGTAGAAAATACATTACGTGGTAATTTCAAATGATTTATCCAGCTCTAACATGTCTTCAGTCTCATGTCCAGAAAGCCACTGCCAAGTCCATGTACAACCTCTCACCAAGCTCTGAAGGCTGAATAATCCTCTGCTTTTAATCTCTCCTCATTCTTCCAAGATAAAATGTTACGGTTGATTGATTCTTATTTCATTCCAAGGCTTAGGTCCTCCACTTGACAAAACTTCTAGGATCTCAATGGGAGACACATCTACTAGTGTACATCAGGAATTATGCCTATTTGCCCATTTATGACCTGTGATTCATAATAAGTCACCTTTATTTCTCTCAAAATTCATAATGCACTACAGGCTTCTCAATTGTACAAGAATATATTTATACATTGATGCCCAATTAAAAGATGTTAGAGTCACCCTCACATAGGTTTTGTAAGTTGTGGCTGAGATAATTTATTAAAAATGACAAGTTTATTTTATCAATGATGCCATAAAGGACAAAGGTTATCTATAGTTTGTACACTGATAACTTAAGGCGCTCAATGATTTAACTTGCTTCATTTAACTTTCTCCATAAACTGGTTTCTTACACAGCTTCATTTTCCAGCCTGGACGGAGAAGGAGTCAAGGGAGCAGGCGCCTTTAGATCTGCTTCATACTCAGAGAAGCTCCTAATGTTCTGTGTGGGGTGAGGAAATAGCCCAGTGTTTTCATATGACTAATGCCTTGTTCTTGGCTTACAGTGTTGTAGGCTTTACCAAGTGTTAGCATTAAATATGCAGTTATTGAACTTTTCATAAGAGGCAATGATATAAAATTGTTCCACAAAGTGTACTATATGAACCACTTTTCACAGTTCAAATAAAATATTTTAAATATAAATATTGAAACTCTAGCAATAACCTCTCTACGCAAGATAAGAGAGAGGGGATTAATGAAAACCCAGTTAAATTTCTATATATTCATGATTAACCGTTTAAATGGTTTTATTTTCCAAAACCCAATTGCACATAACCCATAACTTACTTATAGGCCACGTCTCCAAAACAAATAAACCACCAAAGAAAAAAGTGATAAATTATAAGAAAGGAAAATATGTGATATTTACTACAATCATTGCCTTGCTCCAAAATTTGGCAAATATATAAGAAAAGTGACATCAAGTGGATATACTTTAATTTGCAAAGCTAATTGGAGCAGATGAAGTTAAAACACATAGAACAGAACGGGCATACATTATTTTCATATTTGCATGTGAAATGAATGTATTGGCGTAAATTAAGAAATCAGGAGGACTGCTATGAAGTGGGAAACAGTGACATTTACCAACAGTAGAAGCCATTCATCCTGTTACTACTAGACCCAAGAATTCCAAATGTTCCTTTCATTGTCATGCATTAAAAAAAGTGGGGGGAATCAAATTATTGTTATCAGTTGTATAAACTTCGGGCTGTATAAGCTTTACACTGGTGGTCCTTTTGGCCATAGGTTTATTTGGTGTTCTTCTGTGGGGGCTTACATTAGGGTCAAGGTTGCATCTTGGTGTAGTTTTTAGGGTCAGAGTAAGCCTCCCGTGATACTTGCTGTTTGTTTAACAGGGGACAAAGGTTAAATTCCAAATACTTCTAGGAGAAACAACAAAATGACCTAAATTTACACCATACACTAAATGACTAGCGGTTAGTTTCTTCTCTGCGAGCAGCATCTTTTTTTGATAGCAAATACCCTGGGGACTGGGGCACAGAGGAAGAAAAGAATAAGGGATAAATCAAAGGGAGCAGTGTGACAGTCCCAGGGCGGGGAATCCCTGTTACCTTCCAGTCAAACTTGGTTTTAAGCTTTATGACTTTATCATGGGTCATGGGACGCCTTTCGGTGTTCTTCACTCGGTCACGTCTAGGAAAAGAAACTGCCCTTAAATATAGAGGTAAGTCTTTGTGGCTAGAGATGGGCTTCTACTTTAAAGGCTCTGAGCGGGCAGCCCGGGTGGCTCGGCGGTTTAGCGCCCGCCTTCAGCCCAGGGCGTGGCCCCGGAGACCGGGGTTCGAGTCCCGCGTCGGGCTCCCTGCATGGAGCCTGCTTCTCCCCCTGCCCGTGTCTCTGCGTCTCTCCTGAACAAATAAAAGCTACGAGTGAACTTTTGGACGTCCTAAAGAAAAAAGGAGAGGGAGGAAGATAAACTTTTGTGCATGAAGCTGCTTCCATAAGCTTCACGTGTGCTACCGGGTAGATGACAACTCTCCAGTGTGGGTGTGACCGCTGTGCAGGAAGGGAACAGGCCCGGTGGAACGGGGGCCCACAGCGAATTCTGCCTGCCACCCAGTGGCCGCTGAAATAAAGGGTCTTTCCTTTGTTGCCAGGGCTCTGCAGCCGGCTTCAAAAAAAAAAAAAAAAAAAAAGAAATAAAAAAACCACAAAACCGCCAGGCACAGCCGAGGTAGGTCACGCCCGCCGCCCGCCGTCCCCGCGGCCGCCCGGCCTCAGATGCTGACGGGCACCGAGGACACCGAGCTGGCCCGGGATTCGCGGCTGGCGCCGCTGGGCATGCACAGGGCGCAGCAGGACACGCCCACGGTGGCCTCGGGCAGCTCGTCGTCCTCCGTCCACTCGTTGAGCTCCGGGCTGAAGCACTGGATGCACTTCTTGTACTTCTTCTCGCCCTCGTTCCAGCCTCCCAGCAGGTAGGCGCGGCCGTGCAGCGCCGCGGCGCCCGCCGTGCTCACGCCCACGGGCAGCGGCGCCGCCGAGCTCCACTGGCCCGTGGCGGGGCTGTAGCGCTCCACCGCCAGCACGTCCACGCGCTCCCCGCGCGGCCCCAGCTGGCTGCCGCCCATCACGTACACGCGGTCGCCCAGCGCCACGGCGCAGTGCCAGCCCCGCGGCGTGCCCAGGCCCGCCAGCTCCTGCCACGAGTCGCCGGCCGGGTCGTAGGCGCACACGGAGCGCGAGTAGGCGCTGCCCACGTACCCGCCGGTCACCAGCAGCCGGCCGCCCGCCACCGCGCTGGCGTGGCAGCAGCGCGCCGCCTCCAGGGCCGCCTTGGGCAGCCACTGGTTGCTGGAGGGCACGTAGCACTCCAGCGAGGCCAGGCTGCCTTCGGCGTTGCGGCCGCCCGCGGCGTACAGGAGCCCGTCGCACGCGCTCAGGCTGAAGTGCGTGCGCTTCTGGTTCATGCTGGCCAGGTGTATCCAGGTGTTGAAGCGGGGGTCGAATCTGCAAACGGCAGAGCAAGCGTGACAGTCTTGTGGGCGGCAGCCAGGGAACCCTCACCTGGAGGCTGCTGTTTCCCTGGGCCGGGACAGGGTGATACCTGGATACGGGCAACGCGGGCATGGGCGAACCCCCCCCCACCTCCTCCCAACTATAGAGCCTTTATGGGGCCGCTCGGAGAGGTCCCCGCAGACACCGACCTTTCCTTCCAGTCCCTCTTTTTTCCGTACTCCGTACTCTCCATCATCGGGGAGGAATTCTGAGATGTGCTTGTCGGGGAGGCGGTGGCAGCTGGGTCTCTCTCTCTCTCTCTCTTTTTAAAGCCTACACGTACTTTTTATTATTATTTTTTGATATTATTTATTCATACATGAGAGACACGGAGGGAGAGAAAGAGGCAGAGACACAGGAGGAGGGAGAAGCAGGCTCCATGCAGGGAGCCCGACGTGGGACTCGATCCCGGGTCTCCAGGATCACGCCCTGGGCTGAAGGCAGGCGCCAAACTGCTGCGCCGCCCGGGCTGCCCGGCAGCGGGGTATCTGTGGCAATCACAAAGGGAACGCTGCCACACCTAAGTCAGTTCCACATAACTTCAGACACCAGCCATCCCTGGCTCACTCTTAGCGCTTCATTAAGATAGGAGTTGGCTAATTGGATTTCTCCAATTGTTGCAAACACTTCCTCATTCAGACACTTGGCCTGGCCACTGTGACAGGAAAGCTAAGTCACTCCACCAAGTCTCCTGTCATCCGCTTAGAATGACATCAGTGGAACTCATGTCCAAAAGCATCCACAGAGGCTTAACTGTTGATATTTCTCTATTTTCTGGCACTTATTAGTAGCTGAGATTTTGTAGTTGAGAGATATATTTTTCAGTGTCCTACATGACAGTTATTAACCATAAGCACTGAAAACAATACTGCAAAAAAGTGACTTGAATACTTAACAGCGTTATCAGCAGGAGGAAAATAAGCAGTCATAGAAAACCTATCTCAGGGGGCACCTGGGTGGATCTGTGGTTGAACATCCTCCTTTTGGCTGGGGTCCTTATCCCGGGGGGTCCTGGGATCACATCCCCACAAACGGCTCTCTGCAGGGAGCCTGCTTCTCCCTCTGCCTATGTCTCTGCCTCTCTCTGTCTCTCATGCATAAGTAAATAAAATCTTAAAAAAAAAAACCCGTTTCAACTGTTTACCTAGTTCCAAAGTATTGTAAATACAGACCTCCCTGCATTAGTTTGATGTTCCTTCATTTTTGTCCCATTTAACCACCAAATCGAAACTTAACTATACTTATAATTAAAGGGCAAAAATCACTTGTTTGGATTCATTTAAATGACACATAGACATAATAATGAAATAATAAAGAATATTTTTCATGATATACTTTATAAATTTTCAGATTTTGCTCATTAGTTATGTTTGACTTTGTGCTTCTACCCTGATATAATAAGCATGACTTTCTGACATTTCATATATATGAAAGTGTTTTTATTATAAATAAACACAAATGACATGGCATTTGAATTCCATTTTTCTGAAGGATATATTATACCTTTGCTGTTTCTGCATGCATCAAAGATATTGACATTTTTTATAGTGTCCAGTCTTTAAAAAAATATTTAGAGTTAATTACCTGCCACATTTTTAATGATCTCATTGTAGTTGCCAATTACGAATCTGACAGTCATCAGTAACAGTCACTATAAAGAAATTTTGTGTTATTTTGATCTTTCTTACCACCTAGTGTTAAAAACTAAGTTTGTATCCAGTTTCTTTTCAGAAAAACAGTGTACTGTGAAGGGCACCTCACTAGCGTATCACTTGTGGTATGACTTCTATGGGCATGAGATTTCTCACATGTAAAATCAGAATAACTACATCTTCCGAGCTCATTTCATAGGCTTATTCAGAAGTCTAGAGTGCCTTTTATATACACATATACTTTATGCAGTGTGAACTGTTGTATATATGTAATGTGGCATTATTATTATTATTATTATTATTGATTCACTGAGCCTGTGAACTAAGCTAACAGGCAGGACTCATTTACTTCTATGTCAGAGCAATTTCCTCATAATATTGAACCATTTCAGTTCCTAATAAAGGATCAAATACCTGCAGAAATTGCTGACTGCATGCTTGGCTTGATTTCTTGCATCATTCTGGTCTTCGCCACCAGCCACATAAAGAAATCCGTCCATCACAGCCACACACTGATTAAAACTCTTGGCTGGCATTTCTGTAAGCTTGCTCCATCCATTTTCAGGGTCTCTGTACAGGACGTCTCTACTAAGGGACTTCTCAGTAAGGCCTGGACGTCCCCCAACAGTGACAAGGACTCGACAGCCCCCGCGGATTCTCGTGCGCCGAGACTGCAATGTGTTTTGATGATACGGAAGTAAGTGGTAGTTCATTGCATCTACAAGAAGTTTGTGACAATCAGCATCTTGCATCATTCTTGGTACAGACTGAACGTAATTGACCAGGTCCTGTGCAGAGATGGTACCAAAGCGGATATTGCTCAGAAGATCTGCAGCGTGTTTCACTCTCTTTTGGTCAAATTCTAACCATTTCATTGCAATCTGGAATGCTACTATTTCAGAAGGCAACTGTAAGTCATCATCTATAAGAAGTTCATTAATTTGCTCAAAGGTAAGTTTCAAAAACTGATCTGATTCCGCAAATTCCAGGAAGTTATCCCGGATAAACTTTTGGGCTGCTGCTTTTGCATTTTTCAGGGAATATGTTTCAGCAATGTTAACAACGTACATGCAATTCTCAACACTCATCTCTCGTATCAGAAAATCACTGCACATCTTTACAAGGGTATGGATCTGAAGATAAACAGCAGCTGAAATAATGCTTCCTATTGTATACAAGGAGAGAGTCAGCTTTCCAGTGTAGGCATAGGCGATAACAGTAGCCAGGCCTGGCGGCGAGATATCATTGAGATCCACCCTTTGGGTAGATGGGTCTTTTTTTAGGATGTTGTAAAAGTATTCACTGCACGAAGCCATCACTGACTTGTGAACATCAAAGGATTTGGTTTTGGTGCCAATGACTAGGTCACAAAGGAAGTTCTCCTGCCTCATTTTACTCAAGCCTTCCAAGAGGTTGGGACCATAAGAAACATCTGTTAATTCTGAAGAAATGCAGTTAAGGCCATTGCCTCCTTCTAGGAGCCCATTCAAAGCATTTAGTTTGTTTAGGGGGCTGTCTTCTACGATAATGGTCATCTCATTGATATCTCCTTTGTTCTTTCTGACAGTCTTCTTTTTGGGGGCCATGTTGGCAGACACACTGTCACAGGCAAGGTCTTGCTAAAAAAAAAAGAAAAAAAAAGAAGAAGGCATGGTTTTATTTTGACAGCACTTTAGACTTTGAAATGCTACATTGAGAAACTGTTCTTTTTCATAATAGTTTTTAAATGGCATAATGTAGATTAAACCTCAAAGTGGTTTTAAAGACTCACATTAAACTAGATGCACATTTTATGGATGGTTTACTTCAGCATCAAGCATTGAAGACAATTCTAGAAAGATTTATATTATCAAATGAGACCTCTCAATTGCTGTACTGCCAACTAATTTTATATAGCAGAAACGATCAAATATTCTCTGATCTAGCTGTACAGCAATTATAGAATAGAAGTTAAGCATCATTCGAAGGGGCTTAGTTTACCCTCCTGAAAAGGTGAATTATAACCCCTTTGAAGTTTTCCTAAAAAAAAAAATACTAAAATTCAGGAACCCATGTAAAAAATATACATATTAGGATAAATGTGTAATTTAAAAATCAGTGGGTACGAACTTGTAATGATACTTTGGTTCAACTGATTTCTATTCTACATAGTCACTAAAATAACTTCTAGATGGATGAAATCTCTAAATCATGCTCTCACACACATACACACAAGTAGATTTTTGTCTTAATTTTAGGGTAGGGGGCAACCTGGGTGGCTCAGTGGTTTAGCGCCGCCTTCAGCCCACGGCCTGATTCTGGGACCCAGGATGGAGTCCCACATCGGGCTCCCTGCATGTAGCCTGCTTCTCCCTCTGCCTGTGTCTCTGCCTCTCTCTCTCTCTCTCTGCATGTGTGTGTGTCATAAATAAATAAAATCTTAAAAAAAAATTAGGGTAGGAAAGGTGCTCTTAAGTATAACCCAAAATCCAGAAGCCCTAGGGAAAAAAAAAAGACAGAAATATCTGAATAAAAAAAAAGAAAAGAAAAAAAGAAAACTTCTATAAAACAACACCAACTATTTAAAAGAGAAGCAACTGATAGTGAAAAATATTTGTGACATTCTTGACAGATAAAAGGGTAATAGACATGACGTCTAAAGAGCTCCAACAATTAATTAATAAGGGAAAGGTAATCCAATTGAAAGTTATCAAAGACTGTGACTAGTTAACTAGGTTGTTCACAAAAAATAAATACAAATAGTTGACAAACACATTTCTTTAAACTAATTATAGTCACAGAGCTGTCAACTGAAATACAGAGATCCTTTTTTTTTAATATATTTATTTATTTATTCATGAGAGACACGGGGGTGGGGGGGTGGGCACAGACACAGGCAGAGGGAGAAGCAGGCTTCATGCAGGAAGCCCGATGTGGGACTAGAACCCAGGTCTCCAGGATCATGCCCTGGGCTGAAGGCGGCGCTAAACCGCTGAGCCACCGGGGCTGCCCTACAGAGATCCTTTTTTATTGCTTTGTGGACACATTGCTTAAGATGGTTAAAATATTTTTTGATATTCACAATATCAGATAGTACTCCCATACATCGTTGATGGGAGTATGATTGATAGTCTTTGCTTTGACATTAAATCTAAATCTAGAGATATATCCTCATAAAGATATATTTATATGGATAGTAACCACTTTCCATTATCAATGCTATAAATATTTGAACCAGTTGTTTGTTTGTTTGTTTGTTTTGAGACAGAGAGACAGAGCAAGCATGAGTGAGGGAGCAGGGGAGGGGAAGAGGGATGGAGAGAGAGAGAATCTCAAGCAGATTCCATACTTAACTTGGAGACCAACATGGGGCTAAGTCTCAGGACTCTGAGATTATGACCTGAGCCAAAACCAAGAGTTGGATGCTTAACCAACTGAGCCACCCAGGCACCCAATCGTTGAAGCAGTTTTTAAACCTGTGTGAAGTGGCTCTGAGCAGCTTTAGTATTAAACAGACTTGAAATATATTAAGTTTAGCCCTTAAAATATCATTGATTAAACTGCTTTAGATTTTTTCAAAATATTGAGCATAGTCATTAGAAGATATTATAACTGGACTTTAAAAATAGAATTTATTTTGTTTTTTCCCTCTTTTTTAAATTTAAATTCAATTTGCCAACATATAGTACATCATTAGTTTCAGATGTAGTTTTCAATAATTCATCAGTTGCATATAATGCTCAGTGCTCATCACATCACATGCTCTCCTTAACACCTGTCACCCTGTTACCCCATCCCCCCCACGTCCCCTTCAGCAGCCCTCAGTTTGTTTCCCAGAGTTAAGAGTCTCTCATGATTTGTCTTCCTTTCTGACTTTCCTCATTCAGTTTCCCCTCCTTCCCTTATGGTCCCTTGCACTATTTCTTATATTTCACATATAAGTGAAACCATATGATAATTGTCTTTCTTGACTTATTTCACTTAGCATAATACCCTCCAGTTCCATCCACATTGAAGCAAATGGTAGGTATTTGTCTCTTCTGAAGGCTGAGTACTATTCCATTGTGTATATATATATATATATATATATATATATATATATATATATATACCACATCTTCTATCCATTCATCTATCAAAGGACGTCTTGGCTCCTTCCACAGTTTGGCTACTGTGGACATTGCTGCTATGAACATTGGGGTGCAGGCGCCCCTTTGTTCATTCTTTGGGGTAAATACCCAATAGTGCAATTGCTGGGTGGTAGGGTTGCTCTGTTTTTAACTTATTGAGGAAACTTCAGTGGATTTTATTTACAGCATGGTAGCATTCACTTTTTTTGTGAGATTACCCTTGTATCTTTTCTCATTTTTTAGATTACAAAATCAGTCTGTGTAAATCAACAACTCACAATTTGGTATATATTATTCCAGATAATTGGATATTCTTATACAAACTCATATCAGCACATTTTTGAGCAGTGGTGTGCCGATAAACCAGCTAAGTGGAGGGGAGCCCTTATTTGTCAGGTGTGAATTTCTTTGGTGCAAATGTACTCATTATAGCTGATTTTAAACTATTTACCCCGTAACAACCAGCCTGTCAAATTCCTGAAAACATAACAGTTGGCTCTCATGAACCAGTACAAGTCAGCTCCAGCATACCACTCTATGCGAACTTAGATCAAAGCATGTTTATGCTTTATTATTCAGCAGTTCGCTTTTTTCACCAAACAGTAACTTATGTATGTCCTACCATATCAGTACACACATAAATTTACATCATTCTCCCCAATAGTTGCAGAGCATCCCATACTAAAGATGTATAAAACTTATGCCATTCTTCTGGACCAATTTCTCAAAACAAAACAAAACAAAACAAAACAAAACAAAACAAAAAAACCAACCAAACAAACAAACCCATATAAACTATAACTCACTGAATATAAAATAGACAATTTGAATAGCCCTGTAAGTATTAGGGAAATTAAATTTGTAATTTTAAAACTCCTGGGGGTAGCTCAGCCAGTTAAGCATCTGACTCTTGATTTCAGCTGATGGACATTTAGGTAGTTAGGCATTTCATAGTTTTTTGAGGGGTGTGTGTATGTGTCTCTTTTAAGTCACACTCTTGAGTTTATCCTGAAGGGTAAAACTTGGATTTGATTCCCCTTGAAAGACCCTTCAATTTAAATACCAGAATGTATTTTTAAAAATTCCATAACAGTTCTTGTGTTTGTCTTATTCCTTTCCATGTGGAAGAAGCATAGCAAGTAGGTAGGAAACAGAGATCTATCTCTTTGCCAGGACTTTTGTCTTCCTCATTAAGCTCAGATTGTAATATTCATATTTATACTTGCTTACAAACTACAGCACATCTGTCCTCCCTCATTCTTGCAACCAATGCCAGATGCATCCTTACCTGGTGAAATAGATTTTCAACCCACCATCAGTTTAGTCTTCAAATGCATTTGACTTAGTGGTAAATGGCCCCGTGATGGATTTTTCTGGGGAAAATTTTAAAGAGTTTGTTCAGCAAGCAGTTATCAGACACCTACTGCTGTGTGGGCGGGACTGTGCTGGGAATGATGGAGCAATACAATATGTAAGTAATATAAGACAAACAAGACATGACAAGTACAAAATGGTAACAAGTAACTAGGCAAGCACAGCAAAAAAATTTTTTTTTTTTAAATATCAGTTTCTACCATCCGGAGTAGAAGCACCGATGTGTCTTTGGGAAAAGCCTTGTCTATTTTTCCTAGAAGAATCCCTTTGGAGAAGTTTTTATTCATGTAGATATACGGCTCATAACCACTCATTATTTTGAAGGAAATCCTGAACTTGAGGACTAACATGATTGTTTTATATTGAAATGTTAAATATTCTGTTTATCTATCATTAAATGATTACAGCAGCCCCCTTTTTATCTGTGGTTTCACTGTCCTCAGTTTCAGTTTACCCATGGTCAACCCGTGGTCAGGAAGTGGATGATCCTCCTTCTGACATATCATCAGAAGGTTAATAGTAGCCTAACACTACATCGCAAAGCCCCAGTCATTCACCCCACTTCATCTCATCATGTAGGCATTTTATTATCTCACATTACCAAAAGAAGAAGAGTGAGTACAGCACCATAAGATATTTTGAGAGAGATATCACATTCACATAGCTTTGATTACAATGTGTTGTTATAATTGTTCTGTTTTATCATTATTGTTGTTAATCTCTCACTATGTCTAATTTATAAAATAAACTTTATCACAGGTATATATGCATAGGAAAAACATAGTATATATAAGCATCAGTACTATTTGCAGTTTTAGACATCATGAGGCGCGGGTTTGGAAGGTATCCCCTGTGGATAAGGGGCAACTACTCTTTGCATTGGTAGCATATGGCGTGGTATTAAAGATATTAAGCAACTGATAAAGCAGGACACCTACTAAGTAGTATGGATTCATAGGCCACAGTTCCAGAGCTGGGTTCCAAGGGCTTCCCTGGAGTACTCTGTGTAAGTCTTCAGCTGCTGGATAATAGTGGGGCCCAGGGTCTTTTCAGAAAGGATGGTGGGGTGGGAGGGTTTTTGGGGAGCTCAGGGCAGCCACTATTTGGCTGATTATTTGGCTATTTACCAACTCAGT